CAACACAGGCACGATTCTCTTCACTATGACAGCAAAGGTTATGAATAATAAGTGCTGCGTCTTCCTTAGCCTTCTGAGACCCCATTTCTAGTAACTGGACCAGTGGTGGAATCCCACCAGCAGCAGTGATTGCCCACTTGCTCTCGTCAATTTGGTCAGTTAGGATTGCAAGCATTTCAACAGCATACTCTTGATGCTGTTCACTGGATAAACCCAGCAGTGATATCAGTAAGTGAATTCCTTCCCTCTTTCCAATTGCTTCCCAAACAGTCATTCCATCACAGCATAAACGCAACAAGGACAGTATTAAATACTCTAGTGCATCACCACTTACCATTGTTGTGAGCCCAGTAAGAGCCTTCTTAGATTCGGATTGTTGGACACGTTTTGACAGATAAGCATTGCCATAAAGGCTTCCCATAGCCTCAAGAAGACGCTCCTGAACCAATTTATTATCCCGTGGCTTTAGGAGCATTGCAAGAATACTCTCAATCTTTGTCGCATCAAATATTTCTTCTTCTACTTTGTGCTCAAAGACCATAAGAGCATATGCAAGTGTTCCAATTATATCAGCCACTGGAGCAGCTAACCTTGGGGACTGCGCAAGCTCACCCAGATATAGTAACAGAGGAGACATTCCATCACATATATTGGCTAAAGCTTGTATTGCATGCCGCTGAAGTTTCTCTTTTTCCTCTCTTCGCAGTTTTTCTTTAGAAGGAGAAATGACAGCTCCTGTAAGTGCTGTGACGCCCTGTGAGTCTACAACAGCTTCCTGTTTCTCTTTTCCCTCACTTTGCAGTCTTTCTTTAGAAGGAGTAATGACAGCTCCTATAAGTGCTGTGACGCCCTGTGAGTCAATAACAGCTTGCTTTGCTTTGGCAGATTGTGAAGTAAGAACCTCTAAAGCCTCAGCTGCACTGGCACGAACAGAAACATCATCTTGCTGAGCTAACAGGCTAAAGAGAGCTTTGATTCCTCCAGAATCAATTACTTTTGGAATGCTATCACTGAATGCCAACATTATACGGGCCAATAAAGAAGCTGCATTTGATTGAGTGGAAGCACTACTAGAAGAAAGAAGTCTAACAATGATGTCCACTCCCCCACCCTCTAGTGTTGTCCTCCAATGTCCATCTTTATCACCACAGAGATTTCTCAAAGCCCCAACTACAAATCCTTCCACTGTTTTGTCCGGCTTCTTTTTTGAATTCAGCTCCTCCCACAAAGTTGGTACGACACCTTCCGTAATGAATATTTTCATGCCAATAGGATCATTTGAAACTCCACTAGATGACACCGCAAAAATTGCTTCCGCAGCTGCTCTCCTTGCATCAGCTGAATCAGACTTCAAAAGTGAAAGTAGAGGTGGAATACATCCACCTAGAAGCACCTTTAACCGCATGTCTTCATCTCTGCACAATACAGTTAAGGTTGAAGCTACATTGACTTTTGCAAAAAGAGTTGCATTTCTGAGAATTGATATGAACAGTGGCATTGCTTGGCCATGTGAACCAATAAGACGTCGTGCTTCTTTTCTAGCTTTGGCAATGCCTAGAAGACGTGCTGTAGTAAGTTCTTTTTCGTGTGCAGATGATTGATTCAGATGCAGCTGATCAATAAGTTGTGCAAGTCGTGGCAGTGTCTTTTCCGAATCATCCATTTCTGCAGCTTCATTGGACTCCCTGAAAGTAAATATATAATACCTTTGAATTATCTGAATAAATCTTTTTTAATAGGTTATCTAGATAAATCATATAATGTCTCATGAATTCATGAAAAAGGATAAATAAAACCAAGCAATGTGGAATTGAAATTTTCAATCAGAAATTAACTGAGAGGTCACAATATTTTGGCTCCCTATACATACCAGATGCCCAAAGTTTCTCTACACCTACGAGATACTAATATGTTCTATCTTTCAAGCAGAAGTATAGAATATAGAAACTTCTTTTAGCAAAATCTATAACAACCACAAATAGTAAATAAATGCAGCTACAACACAGAGTAAAGAGAGGAAGAAACCTGCTCTTCTGAGAAGAAGAGGATGACACATCCTTGTCCCCTAATTCAAGGGAAGAAACGTCTGTCATTGGCAACAAGCCTCCACTTTGACACTTTTGTGGCTTCCTACAGAGTGTAAGTATCTTGTGTTAATGAAGCATTCTGGTTAGCTTGGTTACTATATGCACAAACAATAAGTAGTAGAAATTCAAGAAATATAGAAACGTATGGATGCATTTTTCTTCATAATCCTTCATGAGAAACATAAAGCAGACGCGCAAGAAAAAAAGGGAAAAGGAAGAAGAATAACACGAAACTCAAACAAGGTTCACATTCATGCTTACCCCAACAATTTTCACATTCTTCAAACCATTACAATCACAATTCCACATAATACTTGTCACCTCCACCGGCAATTGGTACCAGATAACTTTGTCCACCAAAGTTAGGACATATGTGAATAAATCACTAGTGTTTTTGTCTTTGCTGGGGATTTTAACCTGTCACCTACTCACTTCATTGACCACTGGGCCATACCTTGAGTGCTTAAAATTTCAATATTTATTGAAGCATACAAAAATATTCTAATTTCCCACAGAGTCCAGTTAATCGTGAAAAAACCATTTCCGTGGCACAAAATTCAACCAATCTACTCAACAAATAACAATACACTTAAATTCCATTGCAAGAAATGTTTTAACAACAATGCAAGGTAAAGGAGAAAAAAAAATAACAACAAAGAAATTTGCATATATACCTTGTCTCTAAAATTTGCTAGAATCCTGCAAAATTCAGCTCCTCTTGCTCTCCAGGGTTAGAAACCAGAAGAAACCCGGAATTTCTCGCCAATTTAAGAAGTGCTTATAGATAATATGTACGTATATATCTACAAAATATACGTGTAGAGGTATATATATATAAATATCTTTTTACATAATGGTACAACAAGGCTTTACCCAGAAAATCTGCATAACCCAAAAAAAAATTAAAAATCAAAAGCAATTCATCCTCATTAACGCAAATACACATGCAGGTAACAAAGATGTACACACATTAATGTTTAAATGTAACTATACAAATTTATTACATGTCTGATTGAACGGAAAAAGAGCATTTGCAGAATCTACAATCTAGAAATGGTCATTCACATGAAAAATGAATTGGAAAAGATATAGTATATTGTTTTTAATGGATTCTTCTCAAATTGAAAAAAAAAAGTTGACGCACAAGGTACCTTGGGGAATTGTAGAGTTGGAAGAAGAAGAAGAAGATGTAGAATGGAGTGAGACACGATTACACGAAGGTGTAGAGAGAGAAATAAACAGAGGAAAAATAGGAGACAGAGAGAGACTCTGAATTCTGTTTTTCTTCTCTCTTTCATTTTTCATGCGCTGCTTTATTTGCGCCTATATTCACACATGCAATTATATCTATGTAATAAAAAAATATACTACTTCCCATATGAATATAGTAAATATAATTATATATTAGGCAAAAGATATTTTCATGTAGACGGCAACTATTAATTATAGTAGTACTTTAGAGTTTGAGTGAAGTTCTTTTATTAGTAGTTGATATATTGTCTTTGTAACCTATAAATAGTAGGTTGTTTAGTTTTGACATAATTATATGGGATTGCATCCTGAATAATACAAAAACAAAACACTTAAGTAATATTCTTCTACTCTAGAGTTTTCATATTCAAAGTCTACTTCATACTTTATAGCATTTATTCACAAAACAATTCTTAATCTGAGATCAACATTGCTTTAAGGTTATTTGATGCAATGCAAACGTTCATCACATTGTTTTATTTACTCACAAACATTCATCACAGTGTTCATCCGATGCAATGAAATGAAAGGGATTAAATGAATATGCATGATATGAAAATAAAGGTCTTTTGACAATAGAAGGCATATTACTTCTAATTGATTCTTTGGCCATTTTGTGTAAAATTCTAAATCGACGAGGCGCTATTGAATGTTATGATGAGTTTGAGAAGAGGTAATGTTATGATGAACTTAAGAAGAGAGATGCTCAAAGGAAGAGAGTGAACGTCACCTTTGTTAATAAATATTACTCCCTCCGTCCCATTTTATGTGGCAACATTTGACCGGGCACGGAGTTTAAGAAATAAATGAAGACTTTGAAATGTTTACCAAATTGCCCTTTAAAAAGTAGACTCTTTTTTCTCTCTCCTCATAAATGTATTGGAGTATTATTTTAAGATTAAGTGGGACCAACAAGGATAAAAGAGGAATTGTACCTTTATAAACTTACCAAATAAGGAAATGTGACATTCTTTTTGGGACTGACCAAAAAGGAAATGGTGCCACATAAAATGGGACAGAGGGAGTAACATTTTTGATGAAACAGTGTTGAATGACATCCTTTGCCATAAGATGTGGCTCTACAATGTTAAATTAAGAAAGCTTGCAGAATTTTGACTTGAAGCTCCAAAAATAGTTTTAGACAGATCTTTGACAAACGAAGATCACAAAGAGTGTTTGAAGTATTGTTGAGCGGATATTTGCACATTTATTTCTTCTTTCTTCTATTTAAGTTGAATGATTAGTATAATTTGATTATCCTGTTTGAAGATTTATGTTAACATTTTGATTATCAATCTTGCTCTTAATTATTTGATCACCAATTAAATATTATCTACAAATCTAAAGTTGAAATCGAGAGAAGGAACAGTAGATTGCACATATGATAAAATAAAGTTGAACTTGGGTGAGGGAACCATAGATTGAACATATGAACTCGGGAGAGAGGACCATTTAAAAATTTATCTCTAAATATCTATTTCTTCAAATATCTTCAAGTTTTCAAGACTTCCATAATTTCAATTTTTTTCTAAGTAAAATGCACGTCTAAACACAACTTCAAATTCCAAAATTCCTTACTCCAAAAACTCATTTTTTCAAGTTTCAAGTTCAAAATCTATGGTCAAACGGGAAGCTTAGATTTGATCTGGAGCAGAATTGCATGCTGATATTTGGGGCAACAGGGATCGTCAGGAATGATTGTGCTCCAGAAGTGCATTGAGATTCATGCTGATGCACGAAGGCAAAATCATCTCAATTGCAACTTGATTCAAATTCATTTCAAGTTGGAAATTCCGACGATCCAAGCTTGTTGCGAAGAAGGAACACTAAGCTTCATCAATTTGGACACTGAATTGTTGATTCATTCTTCAGCAACTGAGAACATGGTGCAGGGAAAACACTGCAGCTAGAACCAGAGATAAATTCACAATTCCACTTCATAGATGGGGCTAGCCCAAATAAACTGATATTTTTCATGTGTATGTCCTCAAATGGTGCTTCCTCTATGCCTACTAGCAAGGGAGGTCTCTTTGATTCTAGACTGACCACATTACTGATAAAAATACCGCTTACTTTAGGTAGTGCTTTAGGATCCCATTTCTCGTCAGGGTGGTCATTTGCTCCCCTGCTAAATCTAATGGGCACCTTCACTCTTTCCATTCTCATATTATTTATCGTAATATTGACGATGTATCCACCTCTTCCAATGTCAGTTTTAATCCGCACACCAGCTGCAGAATCTCTAACATATAAGTCTTCTATGAGGACATTAGAAACACCTCCAGACATCTCACTGCCGATACCAACCCCTGAGCATGTTGGGGTTGTGCCTTTCACTCTCCTTACAATGATGTTTGAGCTTGGACGAGCCATTTTCATACCATACTGATCCCACCCGCTTTTCACTGATATAAGGTCATCACCACTCTCAATGTAACAATCTTCAATGCAGACATTCAAGCTGGAGTCTGCCAACAAAACAATTACGCATATAAAATTAGATATTCTAGACACTCTTAATCTTACAATCTAGTTTGGCATAAGTAATAAAATAGAGCGGACAGTTTTATATGCCTAGGATAGATGAATCGATGGAAAAACAAGAGAAGTTCGGTTAAAATTGAGGGTGTGTCTGGTATGTAGATGTTTTTCATTTTTCCCATGTTTGATTGGTTATAATTTTTGGTTTCTCTAGGAAAACAAGTTCCCTAAAAATAAGAAAAATGACTTGCCTATAGAAAGTAGGAAATAAAATCTTGTAAGTGACATTGCATGTTTATTGACTCCTCGCCACTCTTCAACGCACCCTCCGTAGTCTATGTCCCCACTACACACACCCTACGCTCCACCTCATCCTCTAGTGTTTGTCTAGATTATATACAAATGCTTTTGGGACAATACTCTCTACTTACTTATCAAACACGAGAAATTAATTAAGAAAACCACTTATTTTTTATGAAACATTTTCCTTTATACCAAACACACCCTGAAAGTAGAGGTGAAAGAGATGTGATAATTTTTCCCTTCAGTTTAGTTTTAGTGTGGCTTTTTAGTTGAATACGGGAGATACACTAGATAATAAAATTTCAAATCATTCTTCTTTCTCCTGGTAAAAGATTTCAAGTATTACATCAGAACTTAATGGGCGATATAGGATATACCTGCATCAATGCCATCTGTGTTAGGGGCATTAAGAGGAGCCAAAATAGTCATGTTTCTGATTACAATATTCCTGAAACAAATGCAACATCAGGCGTTACTCTACCAGCTAGCATGGATAATTTGGCGAATAAAAATAGCTCTCGTGAAGGAAAACTAATGAAAGGAGGAAGAGCATGTTTATTTAACAAAAATTTCCTGATTAAACTCCTGCATCTTAAGATTTTGCCTTGTCCTCACCTCAACATTCTACACAAGCAGGAAAAAGACTACTTTGGCAACATCGAATCCTTTTAATCTATTAGTTGGTTCTTGTGAAAAACAATGAGGATTGGTTCCAACATATTTAACGGTAGTAACTAGTAACCAATATCACCAACTCAGTTGTTCTTTGAGCAAAACCACATCACTTCTGCTTCTATTGGAACACAAGATTCCCCTTTTCTGTTTGTGCTGCTATAACATTATATGTATGGTTGTTTGATTGATTAATTGAATATGGATATCAACTTTTCAAAAAAATACTGTGCAGCAATGAAGAGCAATTTCCTCGAGCCAAAGTAATTAGTACTCCATTCATAAGTAACATGCAAAAATAGATAGAGCAGTTTATCAAGAGAGCAAGAACCTGCAATAGATGGGATGAATTGTCCAAAATGGGGAGTTCATGAGTGTAAGATTTTGGATCAGGATGTTCTGAGAGTTAATCAGTTCAACAAGGTGGCCTCTGGTGTGTACCAGGGTTCTATTCCACCAAAGATCCCACCACATCTTTCCCTGACCATCTACAGTCCCATTTTCCCCTGAAATTAAGCAGGAAACATTGATCAGATGCACAGGCACAGAAAATGTCACAGCAAAGTTCCATTCTCATTCGAAAGGAAAGAGGGGAAATAGCGAGCGGGGAAGTATTAATGATATATATTTATGGAAAGAGAGAATAAAAGAGTGATCACTGAGATAAAACGTAACTACAAAAGCATAAAAATATCATTCTCGTCAGAATCCATTTGGGTAAAGTTTGTGTCTATTGAATTCTTACTTCTAATATACTTTGAGCATGTTCATGGATTATGGTAAAGGGGAAGTGGTCAAGAAGCGTAGTTACCATTATTTATGAGGCAGTAGTACTTAGAATTAAATATTTGTAGTAGTATAGACGTCATTGTTTGCAAGTGTGTATACAAATCCCTCATGCAAGAAATAATTAAAAGAAACCATTCTCTAATAAAATTCTCTATTTGAAAATTAGATTGATTCTTGAATCAAGATTATCCCTTACAAAAATCTTAGATAAATATTTTAGACAAACACAAGGGGTAAGAGGAAACTACTCTTTGTGTTGAGATGTTTAATCTATGCACCATTTACCAAACTGTTTTGCTCAATCAAAATTATCCAGCAAAGGACCTTATAACACACTGCTTATCTGCAAATCTGAGTATGATATTACTACACAATCTTTAGAATTCTGGTCAAAGAAATTTTTAAAGTTTTGAAGTCGCATGTCAGCAATTCTAACACAGGGAATGAGGGGAGGGGAGGGATTTAGGGAACACTTTAAACAAAATCTGAATGCTTTCTCCATGTTCTTACTGTTAACAAAGATCACGGATCAGTTGAACAGCCAATACCTAGTTGCTGTTGTTATTGTTAATCTTACAAAGAAGTTTCAACATACTCTGAATTTGCTGTTGCTTCAAGTGGAGCTAGAGTTACTGACGGGTACTAGCCAGCTTTAACAGTTGACATCCATCAAGAGATTCTTGATTAAAGTAATGCTCCTCATTAGAAGTGAATAATAATCATCTTGGCTTCTACTTTTTTTTTAGTTATCAGCTGACTTAGTCTATCAACTAATCACATGTCAATGTAACAACACAGTAGGAACTAGAGTTACATTCAACATTCTGTAATCGTTCTTTCAAATCAAAATGCAAACAGATTTTGTCAACTCGGACTTTGGTGTATTAGACCTTACATACATCATATTCAAGAAGAACCTTCAGCACTAGAATACAATTTAACCTTTTGCTATGATCTAGGTCCCTGATATCATCCAAGAAAGTTTAACTTCATTGAATACTGAGGAAATTCAAGACGAGCTCAATTGGCATCTAAAAAATATCATAGGGTGGAAGAAGATCTCAAGCATAATGAAGATTTGTTGGCAAAATCTTACACTATTTGAAGGCCCAAATTGAAGTCCAAAAGGATGTGCATTTTGGGGCGCAAAGTTGGGCCCAATGTTTTGGAAAACGAGAAGTGGAAAAAGCAACGAGGGCTCGCTTTATTGAAGCAAGAAGAGTAAAGTGAAGTACACATTTTTTCTAACTGAAGCGCAATTTAGTACAAAAATAAATATTAATTTGCAAAGATAAATAACCATAACCAAGAACTCAAAAAATAACATATTAAGCAAAAATTTCAGTTCTTACATTAAAAAGTAAATAATATATAGTTATATACTCCCTAGATAGTAATACATTCTCATTAACATATTAAGCAAATATGTGCTCAAAATTGGACAGTAACGGAAAATATATCAAGAAGTATAACCAAGGACTTTTCTTAAGAACAAAAGGGCAAATCCAACCCTTTTTTATTAATTAAATACAGTAAGTCTTCATAATGCCATGTTTCTGGTGGGGGACAACCGGACAACTATCATCATGACTCCAGTCTCCAACATTAAACAAATCAGTAGCAGCGCCTAGGTGCTTTTAATCAATACATATTATCATTACGGAATATTTTTTAAGCTCAAGTGCGACTACTCAGTTGTGACTTACTTGGCAAAGAACAATAATGACTTGTTAACACATGGGTGCAGAAAGTACCTGTAATTACAACATTGGTGAGACCATTTCCATGAATAAGGCTAATATGTCTCGCTCCCAGTCTTTCTCTCCCTCTTCCATATGAAGGCAGAGCGTCGATTATCGGCCATTCATTTGGATCCTTTTAACAACACAAAAGAAATTCACATTTTCTGTAAAATTAATAATTTTACAAGATAACATAGTTAATTTCCTAAATGGTCATTCAAGTCTTGCGAATTGCCGATTAAAATCACTTTTTGTTTCTTATTAACAACAAAATCATACTCTTTTCCTCTTAAAACATTTTTGTTAGTGGAATGCTATGTGAGACAAAGTAAACAAAGGAAGAGAAGCCATTAGTCATCTGGGGATAAAATAATACTCCAATTAGATCTAGGCCAGAACTTGGAATCAGATTCACGGGAGGGAAATTGTAAAATCAACACTTAGCCTTTATTGACTTTATCGAAAGTACCAAATACACAGACATTGACAAACATCTATTAAATTCACGTGTGACCACATAGTTTCCATGTGAATCCCAATTTAATTAGCTATACAAAGAACTCAAATTTTCTTCCTTGTGAGGGTCTGGTCCACCCGTCCACCTTTCTCACCCCACCATAGCACCATCTTCTACTCCAATTAAAATATGTTATATACACTTGTACTATTTTTCGTGTGGTTTTCGATATTTAAATTTTATTTTAAAATTTTGAATAATCTACTGTATATGGTTTAAATTTATGTCAACCCTATGCCCGAATTCATGTTCAAAATTAAGTTCTTTGAAACTCAAACATCTTCACATAAATGGGTACACAGGAGTATGACTTAAAAATCTTCTTTGATTGCCGTTTACTCAAACACTTCATTTAATACAGTAATAAATTGTAGGTAGGTTTCAAAAAACTAAACACCAAAAATGAGATATGACGGAACTCGAAATCTTAATAGCTCAGATGATTGCCTATGATATTTCGCCCTCTTACCCCGTTTCTCCTTTACCTATACGGCTATGCCTAATTTAAAATTAAAATAAATTATGAAGGTAATGGATCACCTGAGAACCGAGGATAACAGCGCCATATTCGAGGAAGAGCGTGAAATTGCTAGTGAGATTGAAACTACCAGTAAGCCATCGACCTTTAGGAACAACAAGCTGGGACCCACCACTCTCCGTGAAACGGGCCATAAACTCCATGGCCCGTTGAAACGCCTTTGTATTTGAGGTTTTTCCATCCCCAATTCCACCGAAATCCCTGATTGATTTCACCACCTTCCTCGCTGGTACCTGTTTGAAGAAATCAGAGCAGCTCTTCTGTTGATAACCCGACACTACTCCTACCCGACCCGAAATGAAATCCAAAGGGATCGAGAAAATTGAATATTCTCTATTGATATGTAGACTAAACAGAGCAATTACAGTGAACAGAACCAGCACAGATACCCATAACGGTCTCCTTATTCCTCCTCCTCCTCCTCCTCCCTTGATTCTATTCAAATTTAAAAACAAAATCGGGGTTTGTTCTTCCATAATGTCTCTGCATGTAGACATAACCTATGTCTACATGCAGATAAAAAAGAAGAAGAAATTCTCTTTATCAACGATTGGGCTATTCATGAGTCATCAAAACTTGTAGAATAAGCATTCGGAGGCCGGTGATTGGGTTTTGGTTTTGTCTCTGTCTTTGTATAGAATCACGATGAATAATTAATGGAGAGGAGGTTGACGGAAGGTGCCTTTCGATCACACAAAGTGCGTAATATATTTAAAATATACTAATAGCTCTCGTTTTAGTGGGCATGTGTACAAAGAAGAAAAAAAAAAAAAAAAAGAATATGCATGATCTAATTAACGTCTTCCTCGTTTTTATTTTATTTTATGATTTCACACTTGCATTCGGTGTCATTACACCATAATCTATGTTGGTCTTTCTAGTTTATTAGTTATTACTCCCACTTTTCCAATTTTTTTTTTATAGCTTATTTCATGTCTATTTTAAAAAAAATAGAAAGAAATAGGTTCTCATTCATTTTACATTCGTTTTATATTTCTTCTTCTGTCTCAATTTATGTGACAAATTTCAAATTTCAAAATTCAAATAAGTCTATCTTTGACGGTAATTTTTTCATATATCCTTTAAATATTTGAATTGTCAATTATTGTGACTTATAATACTTTTTATGTAGTTTACAAATATATAAATTTCATTTTTAAAAAATTGAAGATTACATGAGTGAATTCTTTGTCAAACTTAAACTGTTTGACTATCGAAAAAATGACATATATCACATAAATTGGAAAAATAATTTTTTTGTCCTTTTTACAAATTAAGATAATTTTGTTATGATTTTTTCATACCACCTTTATTATTAAATAACAACATAATTTAATAGTATTAAATTTAAAATTTTAAAGCATTCTTAATAAAATCAATTTATATAGTTAGCATGAGTCAAGAAAAATGAACATAGAAAGTAAAAAGTAGTACTTAGTAAGTTTTATATATATATATATATATATATATATATATATATATATATATATAGAGAGAGAGAGAGAGAGAGAGAGAGAGAGAGAGAATTGAGCACTATTAAGAAAGACAATTCTTTAATTCAAGATTATGATTTAAAACAATTACTGCTATTTTTTGTTTTAAATTTCTAAATCGACTAGTATTTTGAAATTGTTTTATAATTAAAATGATACTTATATAATACACTCTCTTAGGTAGAAAAGGTCTTCCCCGATTTGTTTTCGAAGAAATTAGGTAAAAAGTAGTTTGTAAATTCACATTTGCGTAAACGTGAATGAGTTGGCATCATAAAATGGTAGGAGTACTTTTTTCAATTGATGATGCCGCTATGTCCGGACACTAATTGAAGGTCATTTTTGGGTATCACATAAATGGGTTGAACTAAAATTAGATTGGTTTAAATGAAGGTGGAGTGGTATTGAGATTTTGTTGGATTTTAATGCGATTATCAAAAAATAAAAATAAAAATAAAAGCGGAATGATTTGAGAGATTTCTATACACTTTGATTATAAGTTGGATTCTTATACTTAATATTTCATCAACTAAATTCTAAACGCATTAAAACATAATATTTTAAACACATTTAACTATTGATCGAACTTATGTAATATTAATATTGTTGGTCGGAAAAATGCGTCATTGCACCCGTTTACAAGCAAATTGAGTATAATAGTTTATATTAAAAAAACATTAAAAAATTAAAAAAGAGAAGAGAGAGCAAAAAGCTTTAGGTCTTTGCCAATTTTTTTGGATATCTCCCAAGTGCTTTCTATCTCTTCGCCGAAAAATTATATGGTATATAGAGATTAAATTTTAGTTTAATAAATATATATATAAATATTAACGCCTTTTGAAACAAGTTGAAAGTTTAATCTATTATTAGTTAAGGGATTGCAAAAAAATGCATAAGGTTGCGTGTTCTCAAGCCCTACTAGCCTCGTTATAATAATTTTTATTACGGTCTAAATAATAGTTACAGATGAAGTTTCAATCCCACCAATGAAGGTGTTATAAAAAAAAGAATCATAAATAATTAAAAAGGTGTTCTATATATAAAAAAGAAGAAGGGAAAAAGGGTAAAAAATACTCCTCAACTTTAGTTTATTAGTTGACTATACCTCTGCCGTTAAAACAAAGTTATTTATACCCTCACCGTTACTAATTTCATCATTTATACCCCTCAATTGACGAAAATTCTCAAATTGACTCAAATTAACCCGAATTTAAAAAAAAAGACCCATTCCTCATTTTAAACCCAATTCCCCAACCCTCTAACGCATAACCCCGTATATCCCACCGATTTCAACCCCATTATTCAATCGTACAAAAGAAATCTCTTTCACGACAAGAGAAAAGTAATTGATGATGGGTGCTTGAACAAAAAGTCAAAAAAGAATCATGTTCTGTTTTGCGATGATCAATCTAGAGAGTCGAAAGAAAGTTTTGTTGGTGAAATTGAATTCGAAATTAGAGGTTGTGGAGAAAAGGATTGAGGCCTTGAATATGGTGAATAACGGGCATTGGGTTATTGGTGATGTTGCAGGTTCAATTTCAAGTGGAAGAGAAATTCTCCATCAACTTCATTTTTTTGAGCTTTTTATCTTCACTCGAAAATGCAAGATCCGTCAAATCCAAATTCCATGAAGTTGTCGACGAAGACGTCGTTTTCAGCTGCATTCCGTCCATCGCACCACCAACGAGCTCACTCGGAGGTGAATTTCCGGTTGCCGGAGGATCTAATCAAGAAAAGTGTAATTCAGATTTCGAGTTCTGGGGAGTGTTGAGATTAATGGTGATGCTATGGCGGCTGATTTTCTGGGGGAGTTTTGGTACATTGGTGAATCATCAAACACTTACTAATGATTCTTTCATGGCTCTCAAGCCTAACTATGATTATTCCTTTCCATTTTCCACTGGTTCTTTCTAGGATTTTTGAGGAAGAGCCGTAGGAATGGCAATAGGACGGGTTGGGGTGGGTTAGGGCTGGGCAAGCCTCGACCCGCAAAGATTTTAACCCGTCCTACCCCGCCCCATTTAGAATTTTTCAATGTTGTAACCTGTCTCGCCCTGCCCCGCTACACCCTGCCTTGCCCTGCCCCGTTTAAGTGTTACTTTTGCACTTTTTATATGTTCTATTGATTCTTTATACTTGTTCTTAATGGCAAAGGAGAACAATTGTCAATACAAAAAAAATCATGAAAGAAAAATCTACCATTAAAATATTCTACTATTTAAATTGTCCAAAACAAACTTTCCTCCACCTACACAAACACACCCAAAAAGATTCTATCTTCAGAAAATCAACCAAAAAGGGAAAAAAGAAAAAAAATTCTGGAGTCTGCATTTTTATCTTTAAGTTATAAAATTCAATATATTTTGTTCTATATCTTTGTTAGCATTTCTTTTGCAATAAATAGAAGCAAAATCTTTAATAAAGTACGTGACTTAATCATTTTAATAATAGGGCATTATCAATCATTATTGTATACCGACATCTTAATTATTTTTAAAGTCCAATTAGTCTATCTAATAAAATATGAAAATGAAAGAGGAGAATAAAAACTAAATATCACCAATTATTTATAATGTTAATCTGCAATTCTGCATTATTTTATTTTTGGGATCAGACAAAGCTCAGCTGAAAATAATGGGCCTTTTGGCCCAATACAACCCATCCCTGCCCTTTTAAAGTTTTAAAAATATTAGCTTTGACCCGCCCCGCCCTATCCCGCCCCATTAAGTAGTGCCCTATCTTGCCCCTTTAAACCCTTGCCCCGCCCCGCCCTGCCCCATTGCCATCCCTAGGAAGAGGAGAGGGTGGGGTTGGTTTTTTTTTGTGGGTAATTTAGCTGCTCTATCAAAATTGTTTATTGACCGGGTTGGAACGGGTTATGCGTTAGAGGGTCGGGGAGTTGGGTTTAAAACGAGAAATGAGTCTTTTTTTTTTAAATTCGGATTAATTTGAGTCAATTTAGGAATTTCCGTCAATTGAGGGATATAAACGATGAAATTAGTAACGGCGAGGGTATAAATAACTTTGTTGAGGAGTATTTTTGACCTTTTTCCCTAAAAAAAAAGAATCATAAATAACTTTTTAATTAAATTTTATTAAAATAAAATTAAATAAAGAGCACGTAAATTCTATTGTCTTATTACCTTATATATAAGCCAACAACAAAGAGGACTAACACTGCAGTACGTAATTGTACATTATGTTATGTGAGTTGTACTATTTATATTTTATCCATATTTATCTTTATTTTACCTTATCATCTTTATTTTCCAAATTATTTTTTGAACGAGTGTCAACTGTCACATGCCTAATATTGATATCAATGACTTAGGTTGAATTAATCGAGAGCTATAACAATAATTTATGTAGAGTTGGAAAATAGGTAATTAATTGAAGGCTATAACAATATTACTTTTTTTTTTATATATATAAGCCAACAACAAAAAGGACTAATGCTGCAGTACTTAATTGTACATTATGTTATGTGAGTTGTACTATTTATATTTTATCCATATTTACCTTTATTTTACCTTATCATCTTTATTTCTCAAATTATTTTTTGAATGAGTATCAACTGTCACATGTCTAATATTGATATCAATGACTTAGGTTTAATTAATTGAGAGCTATAACAATAATTTATGTAGAGTTGGAAAATAGGCAATTAATTGAAGGCTATAACAATAATCAATGGTGACTATTTTTAAATAAATTGGCTACAATTGCAATTCAAAATTAGGACAAAAAAGCAAAAAAAAAAAAACTAACAATCCAAGTCTCCCAAAATTAGCTAATTCATGCGTGCTACAAAGGCAAGCATATGAATTATGTTTGTTCACCCTAAATTTAAGCCATCCAATGCGTTAATTTGTTCGGTTGAAATTTGTCATGATCCCTAATTCTTTGTTATGCCTTCCTCCCCAGGTGGATGAGTTTCTAACAATAACACACAATGCTTAATTCTGTCAGGGACCAAATACAAATGGAGAAAGCAATTTGAAATACAAATGGAGAAAGAAAATTGAAAAAGCTAGAGTGGTATTTAACTGTTGCATCAAAGTCACTTATTTTTTATGGGTTTAAACGAAACTTTCCTCCTGAATCATATTTTATTTTATTTTTTCTGAAAGGTACAAATGTACCGCTGAAGAAGAACCAATATCCATGTGAAAAAAAAATCTGCTTGAAAAAATGAAAGCTAGATTACTGTCAACAGTTGCAAGATCAAGAGAAACCTTTTAGGATCTATCATTAATATTTTTAGCATTGTTAGTAGTGTAATTTTCAACTAAAAATTGTGTGAATTACAATTTTCGTTTGATGGCAGAGATTTTTTTTTTTTGGTTAATTCTGAAAATTACAATTGTTGATGATTCCTTCCCATGTAGTGATTTTTTTATGAAATCAATGCATATCAATTGTTGAAACATTCAGGTGTAGTTATTTTGGGTGTCATACGAACCTAACTATGCACCAACTATATCTTTTTTATGGTACTAATGCATTATTAACTTGATGCTAATACAATTTGTAATGACGAAATAATTAAGGTAAGACTTTTGGTCCTTTTTTTTCTAAATAATAAATATTACATATTTGAACACATTAAAAATCAAATTATTGGGCTTAGACCACGTGCATCACTTTCTAGTAATTATATATCTAGATAATTATCGGAATGAAAAAGATGTCAATGATGACATATTCATATGAGGCAAAGTTACAAAGTAGCTATCAACATTTACAGTATGCTATCACCATACATTATTAATGTTAACTTCTTTTAAGAAAAAAAAAAAACCAGAGTAATTTTAGGAGTAATGTATATCATTTTTTATGAATAGACAAAAAAGATGATTTAAACCTTATCCTCCATGTGTACATATGACATATTATAAGAAATCTTAGCAAAATGAAGAATGCTAAGCAGATCAGATAAAGATAGAGGATGTGTTGTCAGTTTTGCAAGAAAATCAATCACTTTATTAGCTTCCTATAATAGTATGAGATGAGAAGGTGATATCATGTTGAACGATATTATTAATAGTATTCTTTACATATCTTTAAATTAAGATTATGAGAGGTCTTTTTTTCATCGTATTTATAATAATCAGAGAGTTATGGCTAAAATAGTATCAAAAATGGATAAAAAATTAGAGATCGTAAAAGCAAAAGAAAGAAATGACCTCCGGTGCACAATTTACGACCTAACAAAGTCGGATTATAATGGACCTCATGAGTTCGATTTTTTAATTATAAAATCATTTGGGGTCCAAATCTCTATCTATCTTTTACTATTAGACCATTGATGCCTTTTGATTTAAAACTAATGTATGTTGCCTTATTATTATTACACTCTTTAATTTTATATTTTCATGAAAAAATTGACTTCCCAAAGTCGCTTTTTTAAAAATATTTTTAAAAAACCCCCGACCTTTGGAAGTTGTTTTTGCAAAAAATAAATAAAAAATAATTATAACATCAACCTGTCGAAATTATTTTTTAAGAAAAACCAGCCTTAAGGAGATCAATTTGCATTTTTCATCTATAGATTCATGGAACGAATAGATGAAATTAGATTTGAAAGCTTATCTTTGTGAGTTTTTATCTAAAGGACTTGACCATCTTCACACTAAGAAGTTCTACTATATAAATTTTATGCATGTGTCTCCGATAGTTACCATATTGACTAAATACATTGTCTTTATTATTATAAAATATAATGTTTGTGGATATACACAAATTGTGGCCTATCAGCAAAAGCGAGATTTTGAGTTCTTAGGATTTCTTGTGCAATAGTAGGTGATGATATGACCGCAATAGGAGTAGTACATAATTCATATTGACTAAATACAATGTCTTTATTATTATAAAATATAATGTTTGTGGATATACACAAATTGTGGCCTATCAGCAAAAGTGAGATTTTGAGTTCTTAGGATTTCTTGTGCAATAGTAGGTGATGATATGACCGCAATAGGAGCAGTACATAATTCATATTGACTAAATACAATGTCTTTATTATTATAAAATATAATGTTTGTGGATATACACAAATTGTGGCCTATCAGCAAAAGCGAGATTTTGAGTTCTTAGGATTTCTTGTGCAATAGTAGGTGATGAGATGACCGCAATAGGAGCAGTACATAATTCATATTGACTAAATACAATGTCTTTATTATTATAAAATATAATGTTTGTGGATATACACAAATTGTGGCCTATCAACAAAAGCGAGATTTTGAGTTCTTAGGATTTCTTGTGCAATAGTAGGTGATGATATGACCGCAATAGGAGTAGTACATAATTCTAGGAGAATGGTTTGAGAATAATTAAAAGGACAATAATAGAAAGTAGCATTTTATTTATGCCCTAAAGTATTTTTTTTAAGGACTGTGTCATATCCCAACAATTCACTTAATATAGACTAAAGGAAGTATTAGTCCACCTTCTATTTTGCATAAAATAATATATACATATGAGTGGAGCGATGGCCGCATTTTCAATGTATCCTCACAGCTTGATAAACTTTAATATTTGGAGATACACTTGTGAACCCAAAGTACACTCTTTAAAGAGAAAATTAATGATCCCATTATTAGCAATGGATGCTAATTCTTCACGTCATTTGGCTAATTTTCATTCAAATGTTTGGGGATACAATTTCCTTTCTTACACTTCTCAACTCACCGTATGTACTCACAAATATATATATATATATTAATATTATGTTTGAATTTGTCAAAACTAATACATTATATGCTAATTGTTTTTGCCTATACAGGAAATTACTACTCAAGAAAAACTTGAAGTTGATGAGTACAAAGAAAAAGTCATGAACATGTTGATGGAAATTCATGACAATAATACACAAAAACTTGTGTTGATAGACACAATCCAACGATTGGGAGTATCATATCATTTCCATAATGAAATCGAAACATCCATTCAGAACATTTTTGATGCATCGTCCCAACATAGTGAGAATAATGACAACCTTCACGTTGTTTCTCTTCGTTTTCGACTTGTGAGACAACAAGGCCATTACATCTCTTCTGGTACTTATTTATGCTCTATCGCTGCACTTATTGTTTTTTAGTGGTTATTTAAATACTTTTTTCGTTTCAATTTGTTTCTGAATTTGATTTAATACGAAATTTAAGAAAATAAGTGAGTAATATATTTAGAGCTTCCACCTATAGTTTTCTCTACTACTACTACTTGAGAGCTCATGAAACTCCTTTAGACATAAAGAAGCTCATGAAACTACTCTATACGTTTTGCTTTTCGAGAGTATATTGTATGGACTTTGACCAATATCTTAAAATGTCCCTTTTTTAAATTATATTAATATGAGAAGAATTACAACTTATAATTATATTGACCGATAAAACAATACGTGATTAGTAGAAATAAATTAGAGGGGATAATATTAACATGTCAGATAAAATGTTAGAAATTAAAAAATTTCTAAATTAGGAAAAAGGCGTTATTGATAGAGTTATAGTTCATGAGAAAGAGATAATTAGTCATCTGGCGTGGTAGAGAGTGAGTTCATGTGAAAGAGACAAGTTCAACTCAGCCACAAACCTCTTTGTGTTGGGGTCCATTTCACGTGGCCGGACTCACTAACTAGTACTTTCTCCGTCTCAATTTATATAATATAATTTGATTTGATACGGAATTTAAGAAATAAAAACTTTTGAATTTTGTAGTCTAAAATAAGTTATAGATTTTTGTGTGGTTATAAATCATTTAATTTAGAGTAAAATAAGTATTTTAAAGTCAATTTACCCACAAATATAAAACTTCAAACTAAAACCTATATATAAATTATGAATTCGCCTGTAATTTAACCAGATGTATTCAAGCAATTTGTGGAGAGTGATGGAAAATTTAAGAAAACTCTTAATAATGATGTCCAAGCATTATTAAGTTTGTATGAAGCAGCACAAATGAGAGTGCACGGGGAGGATATTCTCGAAGAAGCTCTTACTTTTACCACTACTCATCTCGAGTCCATGATCCCCATGTTAAACAATCCACTCAAGGTTCAAATTATTGAAGCCTTAAGCCACCCTATACACAAAGTTATGCCAAGATTGGGAGCAAGAAAATACATAGACATTTATGAAAACATGGAATCACACAACCATTTGCTCTTAAAATTTTCCAAATTGGACTTCAACATGTTGCAAAAGCAGCATCAAAGAGAGCTTAGCGAGCTTACAAGGTACGTACATACACCATTGATCTTATGTTCCTCTTTAATTAATTGGTATAATACGCGAGCCATAAAATATAATAATCTTGTATTGCACGCTCTTGTGATATGTATATATAGCTGGTGGAAAGATCTGGATCTGGCAAGCAAAGTGCCATATGCAAGAGACAAATTAGTTGAGGGTTACACATGGACATTGGGATTGTATTTCGAGCCTGAGTATAGTCGTGCAAGAAGAATGTTAGTAAAAGTATTCAAAATGCTCTCAATCTGTGATGACACTTATGATGCATATGCAACTTTTGATGAACTTGTGCTTTTCACCAATGCGATACAGAGGTAAAATTGATGAGCAGAAGAAATTAAACATTTTAATGACATACAATAATAGTTGATACAAGTTTAATTTTTTGATGCATAGATGGGACATAAACGCCATGGATTCATTACCGCCATATTTGAGACCATTTTATCAAGCTATTCTGGAAATCTTCGATGAAATGGAAGAAGAATTGACCAAAGAAGGTAAATCAGATCGCGTCTACTATGGTAAATTTGAGGTAATCCTCGTGAACTTTGCTTCATTAATCGATTAAGACTACGTTCTAGAGAAATAACAAAAATATTGGCATGAAAAATGCATACTTATATATTGTCGGTTTATTTTTGTGTTACCATTTTAGATGAAAAAATTGGCTAGGGCCTATTTTAAAGAAGCGGAATGGTTAAATGCTGGCTATATTCCAAACTGTGATGAGTATATAAAAAATGCAATTGTAAGCACTACCTTTATGGCGGTTGGAACAACTTCTTTGATTGGTATGGAGGAATTCATAACAAAAGACACTTTTGAATGGATAACAAATGAGCCTTCGATTCTTCGAGCTTCATCAACTATCTGCAGATTAATGGACGATATTAGTGATCATGAAGTAAGTACAATAAATGATATTAGTGCATTTTCTTAAGTCGTGATCATATCTTGCATGTTTTCCTCGAATTTCATCAGTTCCAGGATCAAGTGCAAAACATAAAATGTGATAAGTAAATAGAAAATTCAGTTGAAGATATTGAATTTCTATTTCATGTAGACTGACCAACAAAGAGGACATGTAGCTTCTGTCATTGAATGCTATATGAACGAATATGGAGCTTCAAAGCAAGAGGCCTATGTTAAGTTTCGGAAGGAAGTCAAGAATGCATGGAAAGACATAAACAAGGCATTACTACGCCCTATTGAAGTACCAATATTTGTTCTCGAACGAATTTTAAATCTTGCACGGACAATGGATACTTTTTTCCAAGATGAAGAAGATGGATATACAAATTCCAATTCCAAATGTAAAGACATTATTACCTTGTTGCTTGTTGATTCTGTTACTATATGACGATCATAATGTGTATGCACCATTGGACAAAGCATTTGGAGCAAATGTGGAAACATTTTGCATCTTTATATTTATAATTAATTGGTTTATGTTTGCTTTCAGAAAAAAATAGATAAAGAAAAAGGCAAGTTCAATAATCTTTTTTCCCCAAAAATTTGGGGTGATATGGTTAAATGGCCCTCTAATAAGGCAGTATTAAAACTTTTGGTTGGTTAACTTATTGGTCCCACTCACTCAGTATACTAAAAATAATTTTTAGCGGTAATTGATTAACAATAATATTTTAATTACAGTTAAGTATGTCTTTGTAGAGATAATTATTCGTGACAATTATATTATAGCACTCTTTGTAAATGTGTTAAAACCTATAGCGATATTGGATCCAATGACAATTAACTAATGCCGGTAAAGATTTTAACACTCTTTGCTAATATGTATATTTACTATTATCAATAAAAATTATTTTTGTCGTAATGACTTATGGCTCATGGTTTGTGCAGTAGTTAGATTTGCATTTGAATACTAGATCGCCCAAGTAGTATTAAATTTTATAAAAGGGAGATCCTTCTGTAATCATAGATTGCTTATGTGAGATATGATTGTTTTGGTGATTGGATGATTGGAGGAGCACATCTTATCTATTTCTGAGTTGTTGAGAGTTCGATTCTCTGCTCTCTAATTTTACACTACAAGTCAAGTATTTAACTCTCCAGTATTATTATTGTACTCCATGAATTATGTACCAAAATGAAAAATTGAATATATTAGGCTATTGAACCATATGTTTCCGATAAATTCCCGGAAAGAAACTTGTATAGGCTACTTCCTTTTCTTTTTATCAATCTCTTTTGCTCGTTAGAGACAAGGTCCATGTCCCACCCTAATCTTTTGTAACTATTTCTACGTATATGTCACATAGTAAGGGTCTAACCAAACCCCCTACACCCCTAGGCTTACAATCTTTTTTTTTTTAACCCTCCTAGGGAGCTCCCACCCCTTTTTGCTCTCTTGGTGACTCGAACTCGCAACCTTTGGGTTGGTAGTGAGGGGTGCTTACCATGGCTATTTACGTAAAAAATAATCTCGATTACCATGAAGCATATATGTAGTATATAAAAAGTTTATTACTCAAATTAAGAGGCTCTCTAAAGGACTTTATATAGGCTTAGAAATTCTAAGAAGTAAGATTTTCAATACATTAATATTCTCCATCGTTCTTATAATTTGTGGCGTTTATATACAAATCTTTCGCTTTTGATGCAGTTATTCCATGTGTTTCAGTCATATCCAAATCTTTTGGATTAACTCCATATGGGAGTTCCCATTCAAAGTGGTGGAGTAACTGAGCCAAAGGAAGTCCAACATTAGCTAAACCGAATTGTATTCCTGGACACATCCTTCTTCCTGCACCAAACGGGATAAACTCAAGGTGATTTCCCATAAAGTCAATTAAAGAGTTCTCGAATCTCTCTGGTATAAAACTTTCGGGATTTTCCCAATTTTTCGGATCTCTCGCAAGTGCCCATGATTGACAAGTACTCTAGCCTTGTAAGGAATGGTGTATCCATCTATATTTGTGTTCTCCCTACATTCCCTAGGTCCTATAAGAGGAACTGGAGTATGTAGCCTTAGTGTTTCTTTAATCACTAAGTTTAGGTATGTCAACTTTTCAATGTCTTCTTCACCATAGTTTTTCTTTCCCTTAAAAACTTGCCTCACTTCAGTTTGGGCATTCACCATAACATTTGGGTTCATCATTAATTCTGATAGTGCCCAAATAATAGTCGTAGATGAAGTTTCAGTCCCAGCAATAAAGATATCCTATTAACAAACAAATAAATTAAGTCAATGGATTACACCAATAGCGTATTCAGTGAAACCCTACAAAGCAGGGTCTAGGAAAAGATCGAAAATAATAATGAGATGAGAGAAAACTTACAGAAATCACAGCTTTAATGTGTTCATTTGTGATTGGAAATTGAAGTTCCGCGTTCTCTTTCACCCTAAGGAAAACATCAACCAAATCTTCGTCTCCAAACTCACCATTTCCCTTCTTCCCAGCTGCTTTATTTTCAATATGTTCATTAATGATATTTTCCATAATTGCATCAATCTTTTGATGTACTTTCACCAATCTAGATTTCACACCACTTATGTTGTGAAGTAACTTCCAACACTACTAAAAAAACTGTAAAAAGAGACTTAAAAAAGAGACCTAATGAGGTCTCTTTTCTGAAAAAAGAGACCTCAACGGTAGGTCGATATAATGTAGGTGACTTTTTTGTAGAGACCTCATGAGGTCACCAAACAGAGACCTCACGACGTCACTAATAAATTTTCCAATTTTTTTTTAAAAAGAGACCTCATTAGGTCGCAATTTCATAATTTACATTTGTTTTATTTTTAATAAAGGTGGCCTCATGAGGTCACTATTATATTATTTATTTTTATTTTATATTTAAAAAGAGAGACCTCACAAGGCCGCTTTATCTCATAGCCTAAAAAATGAAATTGCCAAAAAGAGACCTCGTGAAGTCTCTTTACTGCATTTCTAAAAAATAAACTGCAGAAAAGAGACCTCCTGAGGTCTCTCTACTGTATTTCTAAAAAATAAAATGCAAAAAAGAGACCTCATGAGATCTCTTTTATGAAATTTCTGGAAAATAAAATGCAAAGAAGAGACCTCTTTTTCTGGAAAAAAGCTAACAGCTTGTAACTGTTTTTGCAGCTGCTCATCACCATCATATTAATTCAATACCTTTTTAATTAGCTAAATCAAGCTCAAAGAGTTTCCAACAATCAACTAATACAACACATTTACTAAATATTCTCTTATCAACTCAATATGCAACTCACCTTCAACGTAATCCGAAATTGAACGAAAAATCATAAAATCCATAAGTTATATAATAGGATTTCAATGTTATCATGCATTCACAAAAAAAATAAGTCCCATAAAAAAGTCATAAAGTAAAGAACTTAGATTATCTATTACAACTCTAAACTTCACTAATGTGGTAGTGTGTTTGCCACATGATCCTCATCTTCTTCATCACTACTAGACTCATCTGTCATATTTCTTTGTTGACCATAGACTGGATATCGAGTAGGTTGAGACCGAGAGGGTTGAGGAGGGAAAATGACGTCATTGGAACAAGGGGGAATCCCTCTTGAAGCAAGTAATGCATCTAATTGAGCCTTAAGACCCTCATACTCTATGTCCCTGCGCCTTTCCCTAGCCCACGATTCTTGGACTTGGCTAGATAGCTCAGCTATCTTTTGCTCCATAGCTAAATTTTTCTTCATCGATTCATCATCATAGGAACTACTTAGGCCTTCAAACTCAGAATGATATTCACAAAAGGTTTGTTGTGGCATGCCATAGGCATACTCATATCTACTCGGCCCACCAATCAAGTCTAGCCACACTCTCTCAGCCAGTTTTTGGGTAAGTGTCATACCTCGATTTCTTCTGGTTAAGTTTGTCGTAAATCCTCCAAAACTTGAAGATATCGATTTTAAATTGAATGGTATTATTATTAGAATATAAATTTAGAAAGCAAGTAACTATTAGTTTAAATTAGAGGCTTACATAGGTCAATTCAGCTCGCGGCTCAACCCACACGTCTGGATCTTCGAGATTTTTCTTCTTTCTTATGTGTGTTGCCCTGAATGCCTCAGTCTAAGTTACCAATCTTCCTAGTTCCTTTTCCTACATATTGAACTAATTAAGTTATAATCAAGAGTAATTAAATATTAATACCTAAAATATATAAAAATTTACAGAAAAATGATACATACCAATTTCCTCCTCATACTTCCTTGACTTTGAGCCCCACTTGTGTGTAGAGAACCACCCTTAGTAGATGGTCTAGCCTTCTTACCGATCTCACTCATTTGCTTAAATCTTGGATCCTTCGCCCTTAACAATATCTGGTTTTTCATAATTCAAACATTGACATTTATTACAAGGACACTTAAGCACACCATTACGTTGAAAAAGTTCTAGTGTCTTTGCATACTCCACAAAACCAGTGACGCCTTCTACAAATTCAGGTCTTAGCCCCATTCGACCAAAATTAGTCATTTTATACATCCAACTACGATTCATCTACATAAAGATCACAAAAAATTGAATTTGTTAAACACTAATTTATGTAATAATTTACTGAAAATCAAATTGTAACAATCCTAGTAGGGACTGCTTAACGAGGCCTTGTGCAAATGAATAAATGTATCTTTGGTGACTACAAAAGCATACTTCTCTCAACAGTTTGTCCCAAATAATGTCCACTTCCCTAAATAAATCAAAATAGAATACATCATTAAAAAAATAGTAGTAAGGTGGCACTATTACAGAAGGGTCAAGGACCTTTCTGGGCACAATGATTTCTTAACTTTCCTCTCTTCATTACTGCACAATGGTTTATATCTATAGACTATAGTATATATATAACTTTCCTCTTCTCATTACTACAACCAATAAAATAATAGGTAGATCCATATGTCATCTTAATTACTCATAAACAAAGAACAAGTCATCTTAATTGTCAATTATCAGCAAAAACATCTAATCCATACATTTTTCAGTTTAAAAACAACTAAAATACATACAACGACATAAACCAAAACAATATTAGTTCTAAGTTTGCATCAGAATTTACAACGTGATTATTTTAGATTGAGATATAAGATATAATAATCTCAAAATACAATACAAATCTTCATAACAGGTTTTATTTCTTTATTCTTAGATATTACTACCCATGTATCTTTAGGCCTTAGCCCCTCTTGACCAAAATTATTCCTATTATACATCAAACTACGATCCATCTACACACAAAATTTGAATTTTTCAAGCAAGAAATTAAGTCATCTTCCCAGTTAGTAGTATTAAGGGGTTTCTTGCATTTGAGGCAGCAGCTTCAACTAGCATGATGATGATGATGATGCAGCCAATAGGCACTATTAAGGGTCAAGGACCTTTCTCGGTACAATGG